TATATATATATATATATATATATATATCGTAAAGGATGTGTCCTGTTCTGATGAGGACCTTTAGAGAAAGATTGATTCTTTGGTAGTGAAATAGCTTAACAATACTTCTAGTTATGGATAAGCCAAGAAATTAAGAAATTTTCTTGCTTTAAAAATGGTAAAAAGTTAAATTTTTCTTGCAAAGTAGTTTAAGCAAAAATAGTGAAAGCAGAATTTTTTTTTCTAATATGGAAAAAGTAGTGTCCGGTTTGAAGAGGTAGAAAATAACGTTTCAGGAAAAAAATGACTGTATCCTGTATAATGGTTTATTCATAGAAGATTCCCGGAGAAATAAAAATATTAGAAAAATATGTATAGTTTTTCAGATAATTTTACTTTAAGTTAATCTTTAACTTATATTGTTTCATAAAACGCACATTTATTTTAGAGAACAAATTTAGAACAAAAATGAAACTTACAATTCTTGTAGATTTTCTGGTAAAAGAACTGGAACTTTCCAAATATTCTGATGAGTACAAAATAGACTCCGTTTTGAGCAATTACATCTTTCTGGTGACGTCCGTAGCTCTGTATAAATTGCACAGTTTTTTATTTAAATTTATTCTTTAAATAATAATAATACCTTTAAAGCAAACAAATATTTTTTAAAAAAAACTAAATATGCTCATCAGTTTTCTGAAAAAAACACCAGTTTTTACTAAAATTGATAACATTTAACGTAACTAAATAAAAAAATTTGATTGATAACAATAATTTTTATTAAAAATACTAAATAATGATGGGCATAAGAAACTAATTCAAAAAGTATAAATGGTGATAAAAATAGACTAAAGCAAAAAAAAATTCTCTTTTAAAGTTAATTTTTAAGATTTTCTATAGAAATAATGAAAAGGTCTTAAACATAGAGAAGAAATAATAGAAATAAAATTAGAGATTTCTACTTTTTTTTAAGCTTCATTTAATGCTTTCTTTTCATGCTTTCAAAAATTTGATTACGAATTCATTCTGGTACTATTGAAAACAAAAGAACTATCATAAAAGTATAACATAGAAAAATCAATCAAGTTGAAATCTCGAAGATAATTAAAAAATCCAATAAAACTTATGAAAAAAAGCTTCAAATACAAATGGGAAAAAAAGTAGGAACAATTTAAATTATTGCATTTTTTTTTAAAATTCTTATAATGCTTATTATACATGCTTTCAAAAATCACTTTTCAAAATATTTGTAAATTGATGTTAGCACTAGTGTGAAATTTAAAAACTCTGGAAGAAGAAGAACTCTAATAATCAATCAAGACAAACTCATTATAAAACAAATGAAAACAATCAAAGAAATCAAACAAAAAAGTTTGTGAGAAAAACTTCAAATATGACCGCTAAAAAAAGAAACAAAACATTATTATAGATTCACTCTCCTTTTAAAATTTAAGTTTCGCTTTCTTGTCATTTTAGAAAAGAAAAAAAAATTGCGAAATTTTTGAATTGATTAATATACAGTAAACTAATTCCGAAGAAGTGTTACACAAAAATATCAATTAAGGCAGATTCATGAAGATAACAAAAAAAAGCTTATGAACAAAAGTTTAAAATAAGGCGGCAAGAAAAAAACATAATTATAGATTTACACTTCTTTTGAAATTAGTATAATGCTTTATTTTATTTTTCTTATGCTGGCAATATTACGAAATAAAATAGCTCCCAACAAAGTGCGTTATAAAAAACAATAAATAAAAAATTATAAAAAAGCGTTTGGGAGGGTGGTGCATTATTTGTCCACTTGTAAATCTATCTACTCTATGTAATCGACTTATCGAAAATCTTTTGTTTACGATTTATGTCATCAAATATTAACATTTCATTTGTTTTAAAAAAATCAATTCAAATATTTTGTTTAGTTGTGTTTTTAAACAGTGTATCCATTGTTTGGCAATTAATGCAACAAGTATATAATTGGATAAAAATTTCCAAATTAAGGTCAAGTGTGCTATTGTTTCGTAACCATTGCAGTCGTTGAAGAATGAATTAATTTATGTAGCTACATATATCAATAAATGTGACTTTCACAAAATGGCAATATTTTTTTCTTTAATGAATACGAATGCTTAGTTCTCGAACTGTGCATTTGTCTCTGCGGATATGATTTATTTTAAACATTAATATTTAATCCATTATGATAAAAGATTCTAGTAAATATAATATTTTTAGGCAGACACTTGTTTACATTGTACTATAAATTCCGATTTCTTTATTTAATTTACATAACAAAAGTTTCAAATATAAAAATTGTCTAAAATTTACTTTTTAATTGAAAACATAACATTCATTTGCCTAAGAAATTCATGTTTAAATAAATAATCATCTATCACATTATCGCAAAACTGATTGAAGTATTTAAAAAATTAAATTTTAAACATTTTATGCAATTATGTAAAAAATATGACCTATCGGATTTGCTATGAAATGAAAAATACCAAAAAGGTATCTTAAAGAAATGTAAACATTTTTTTTCAAAAATTGCTTAACATTTCAAGTCATATACAGTCTAGAAAGCAGGCTGGAACACCGGAACAAGACCGGGAAAAATATACTAGTGGATGAAAGAAGTTCTTTATTTCAGAACAGCTTATTTTACAAAGCAAAACATGAATAAAATTTTACAAAAATCGCATTACTTTAAATACAATTCAACCGGAAATTCCAATTTTTTCTGTTTATTTACTTAAAAAAACTAGAGAAATTTCAATAACATCGGTGTATTAGTCTTTGAGAAATTTCATCCACCTCAAGTATATGTTTTTAGAACCGATGCAGCATTTTGATCGGATGAGATACATACGATTGGAGTATGTTCGGTTTACATAATTTAGTGGAAAAGCACCACGACCGGAGATCTATTTACCCGCAACAGACAGAGTTAGAACTGCGTTAAAAAGGTTTTTCGTAGCTCTTTCTCCAAGGAAAATGAAAAAAAGTGACAGTTTAAGTGCTTTAGACTTGAAGCAAAGCTGTAATTTTAAACTGCCCATCTTGCAGTAAAGAATTTTCTAGACTTTAGAACAGACAAGTGAACTAAAATACATATTTAAAAACTTTTTTTAAAAATTGCCAATTTGGCGGCGTTTTTCCACCCGGAAGAAAATTATCAAAATAAAGCTCTTATTCCCATCTATTGGAAATTTTTATGATTCCAGGGAAAGTAGCATTGGGGAAAGTTTCTAAACATTAAAAAATTAGACCACATATGCTTTCTGATAACTGTGGTTTTTCTGCCCATTGATGTTTTGTGCCATTTTCAGAATAAAAGTAGAGAGCGCTGGCGAAAGATAGGCTAAACTTGACCTGATGGTCATGAGTAACTGTTACAAACTCATATTAGTTATGAAAACAGCATATTATTTGCAAAAAAGCATCATTTCATGTGATTACAGAGCGTTCGAAAAACAGTCTTAAGACGGACAGCGTTACGTACGGAATTCATCCGGTCATAGTCAGTAGAGGAATATAGCCGTTGTTAAAAAACGTTAGTATCTTCGTTTAAAGACTGAGCATTTTTAGTTCATTTTCTAAAAGAGGATGCACCACTGAATCAGTTAAAAGGTGTTAGACAGGGTTGACACTCAAATCTGGGGGGAAAAAAATTCCTTGTGTTTTCCCTGTACATATTATACACAATATATTAAGAGCTATATTGGGCTATTTATGTCACCGAAGAGCCATTACATTATGACCACCCTCCATCTATAACAATGGGCTCGCCCAGGTTTTCAAGGTTTCTCGCCCGGGAACAATGTTTTCATGGGGCACATTAGGACCCATAATCCTCATAGAACAATCCCTGACGTCTGTAAGCTACTTGAACATAGTTGCAGACCAAGTTCACCCATTCATGGCAACAGTTTTTCCTGCGGGGGATGGTGCTTACCAACAGGATAATGCACCGTGTTATAAGGGTCGAATCGTCATGGATTAGTTCGAGGAACATTCCAGTGACTTTCAAGTCATGTCTTGGCCCCCAAATTCACCTGACCTTAATCCAACAGAGCATTTTTAGCTCTACTTGGAAAACCAAATTCGTGCTGCCACGCTACCCCTTCGCAATGCGAGGGAATTGCAGGACCAGTTGGTGGTTGGTGAGCACTTGGTACCAGATACCTCAGACTACCTCTCAGCACCTTGTGGAATAAATGCCACGGCGGGTGCTAACAGTTTTAAGGGCTAAAGGTGGTCCCACATGTTATTAGCAGGGTGGTCATAATGTAATGGCTCTTCGGTGTATATCCAATATATGTGATCTATATTGGGCTAACTATATTTATTAGCTTTGATTGCTAGAAAAGCAACTGAACATGATTAAATAAATCTATAGTAAATGAAATAGTTTAGTATAGCTGAAATATCATGGTTAAATATCCCATCGATTATGCTTTGAGTGGTCACCCTTTTATAAAAGACAAAAATAAAAAACAAAATTCCCCGTATTTTCTCAGTTTGTAAAGATAAAATCGAAATTCTCTGTATTTTCCCTGTTATTTTAGGTGCTTTTTAAATTGCCTGTATTTTCCAGGTTTTCCTTGTTTTCCCTGTGGAGTGGCAACCCTGTTAGATAACCAATTTTTTATGCAAAATTGAATGAAATATTGCTTAAATATTGTTCGTTTTAGGGCTTTAAGTTTATATATATTGATTCTACCATTATATTGGAAAAATAAATGTCGATGTGTTTCTTAAAAAAAAAAAAAAAAAAAAAAAAAAAAAAAAAAAAAAACCAGCGTAAGACCTTTAAAAACAGTTTTAATATCATACCACAATTAGTCATGTTTTTTTCTCTATCGGCATCCGGACGCTTTCTGAAGAGTTGATCATAGTACTTTTTCCTATAATGATCCTCTAAAAAATAATGAATCAGTGAATCAGTGTATGTAACATTTGAAATTACAATGCAAAATTAAAACTCTTAAAATTATTAAATGCATTAAATTATCTAAGCTAACTTAACTAAGTTATACCTAAGAAAAGCAGAAAATTCATTAAAATAAAATATTTTTAAAATATATTTAAAAACTAAAAAAAAATAATTAAAAATTAAAAAGCCGAAAGACAAAATAGGAAACTGTATAATCTTGTCATCAGTTCACACGATTATGTTTACAAAATAGAGTGCTTTCTAATATTGTGCTAATTTAGCCAAAGTAAAATATATCAAGACAATAGTGTGAGGAGTACCGAAAAATTGAAACGAAAATAAAAGAAATTAAGTAAAAAAAAATGCAAAATAAAACATATCAAGCAAAAAGTAAAAGTAAAAAATTTATTTATAATAAAAATTCAACCTTAATTTTAATTATAAAGCAATTTTTTAATTTTTGTTGAATTATATAGTATAATCTTATTATCTTGCGCACATCCAGTTTCGGGTCAATGCAAGGCAACTAAAATAATAAATCGAACGCTCTCAGGATGGGATATAAAATGATTCCATAATCCTCAATTTATACCACCATATTCATATTTTGTAATCTGACAAACCTGTTACGAAAATATTTTAAATCATTTTTGAAAGATGACGGCTTGTGGAAGTATATATGAATTCACTACTCGTTTTATATATTACATTTTGTTTTTGTTTCTATTTTTTTGCTTGATATGTTTACTTTGCATTTTTGGCTTAATTTGTTCTATTTTTGTTTCAATCTTTTTGATGCTTCTCACACTATTGTATTGATATATTTTGCTTTGGCTACATTTACGCAATATTAGGAAGCACCCTCTTTTGCAAACATAATCGTGTGAGCGGACGACGAAATTATATGTTTTTCTTACTTTATTTTCCTGCTTTTAAATTTTCTTTTTTTTATTTTCTTTTTAAAGAAAAGTTGTAAATATTTTTTAAAAATATTTTATTTTAATAATATTTTCTTCCTATCTTTTAATATTTTAGCATAAGATTATTAGAAAAATGATTCTAAAACGGTCATTATGAGATTTTTCTCGAAAACGAAATCTTAAAAAAAAATGTTACGAACTAAAAGAAATTGTGAAATATTCTTATTTAATTAAAATAATGTCATTGTAATGTAATCCCTGACAACAGACAAAGTAATTAAATTCAGAGTAAAGAGAATCATATAAAAAAAGCAAGGACTTATGATTAATTTGTGAAAAATTATTACCATTTCACCAAAGAATTAAAATTAATCATTAGAAATAAAAACCAAGCAACTTTTGAAAAGTTTTAACTAGTTCTACAATTCAAGGATTAACATTGTATGTGACATCGCATTTTTTTATCTTATCACAATCTATCTATATAGCATTTATCGTATTCAAAGAAAAAAAATTGCCTTAAAAAAAACAACCTTAGTATTTTGAAGCTTAGAAAAAAAAACTTTAAACTCTAAATCAAGCATTAATTTTACTTATTAAAAAAAAGGAATAAATAAAACGTATTTATGCATACGGTTATAATTATATTTCTGAAATTTCAAATTATCATTCAAATTGAGAAATGGATTTTATAAATGAGCCAATTATCAGCATTTCTGCTTTCTTTAAAATATTTTTTAACTTAGCCAATAAAAAAATAGTCACATTTTGATGAGAGTACAGATTTACTTCGCAACTTCGGTAAAAGTCTGTTCATGTAGCAGATTTAATTTTGTTGCAAAAATTTGTTTTGTTACGGTGAAAGGTCAGCCTGATTACAGATTTACTTCGTAATTATTAAGGAAAAAATAGTTTTCTTATGGGGGAAAAAACGACTGAGACTACGGATTTACTTTTGCACAGTCGACTATTTACGCTTTTACATAAACAACCCAGTTACCTATTTAAAATTGTTAATTACCTATTTAAAACTGTTAACTTTACAGGATGGATTTTTTAACAGTATATGTAGTGGAGTCAAAAATATTAAAATATCAACGATTGTTCTCGTGCTAATATTTTAATATAAATTCACAATAATAACGTTATAAATAGTTTTAATATATACACTGTAAAAAAATGCATACTAAAATAACACGAAACCTTCTTCGTTTTTGACGAAAGCTTTTTCTGGTATATGCTCTGAGCAAAAATGTTGTCAAAGTGACGAAATAACTATCGTTACATCTTCTAGAAAATGAATTTCGTCATAATTAAAAAGAATATTTCGTAATTCCGCTTTATTTATTTTTTTTTTCAAAAAAAAAAAATAATAATAATGAACTTCTAGTGTCCAATATATCGGACTTTTTTTAATTACCACTTTAATATGGGCACCATATAGGTGACGCAATACAACAAGGACAGTAAAAACGGAGAGAAAAATTTGCATGCATGTCCGAAGCGAAATATGTACTGGATCTTCCAGGTACGAGTCCAACTCCTTGACCACCAGATAGCCGGTCAGTTTAATTCGTCACTTTATTTTAAACAGTCAAGTCTTTATTCGAGTTTTGTCATTCTGTTTAACAATCACTGAGATGAGGTTCCAAGATGACCGTTTTTGTCATACATTTGAGAGCTCACGTTTCGTCACAAACTACGTGATTTCGCGACGAAATGATTCTCAAAATTAACTAAATACTGTTCAAAGATTGCTGAATCGTCAAAACTAAGAGTTTTATCTCTGAGAGTACAATAACATTTGTATTCACTTTTTAAAACTTGTAAAATCTATCTGAAATTTATTTTCAGATTTCTTTTCCTTGGGAGAAGCTTCTATTTCCGTGACACTGGAGAGAGAGATAGAAGGAATTTTCAATATCTTACAGTTGTTTGCACGTCTTGGTAGAGATCCTTCAAGCTTCAGAAAAATGTTTTGTAAGGTAAAGTTTTTTAAAGTAACCGACATTCTTATTTTCTATCTCAATGCCTAAAAAATTACTTTTGTAATATACTGAGCCACTCCGATAAAGTCCAAGAATTTGCTTCGTCATATTTATGCTTGTTGTTTTTTAAAATAAAGCGAAATTCCTAGTTCATCTGTAAAAATTTGGATTTAACATCGGAAAGCCGCGTTTTTTGCTGTGTCTGTTTTCTTTAAATATCCTTTTTGAGCGGCTTCTATTTTCCTATATATGCATTTCAATCTTTGTCACTTTTCATAAACGAGAATTTTAAAATTTTTACACTGCAGAAAAATATGTCAAATTTATAGAAAACAACTATCAACTGGTGTGCCAGTATAAAACCATTTATTTTACCAAAAAATACTGTTATTTAAAATCAAACAACTGTCTTTTTAGACAGATAAAAACTGCTATTCTAACATAAAACTATGTTTTTTTAACAAAACAAAAACTCTATAAAATAGCTATGTCAGCAGTGTGGATAGTGCAAACCAAAAGCAGAGTTAGCTTAACTAGTCAACGCCAGGAGCCAAACCAATACCTCCAAGAAGAGAGAATGCCCCAGAACTTGTTACTATAAACAAGAAATTTCATCTTTTAGTAGTCCAAACACAATGACATTCTTATTTTTCCCCACTTCGCAGCTTAGTAACCCGAACGTAGTAACACTTTTCATATTTTTCCTCCACTGCGCAGTTTATTTTCGTTGCGTCTTTCTGCTAAATTGATCCATGCTGAGGCCTTTTCTCTTCAAGGAGGTGTTGATCCACTTCATTGGATGGCCAGTGCTCTGCCCTCTCATCCATGACAGCATTTGTATGTGATTGTGAAGAAAAATCTTAAACTATCCTTATATTAAAATTTTTAATTATTTAAATCATATTTAAGTGTAAAAACCTTTAAAACTATATTGGTCCCCCCCCCCTTATGAAAATATTTCACAATTTAAGTTACCGAAAATTACATCTAAAGATAAATAATTATCAGGTAAAGTATCAATTCGATAAAGTCGTATCACAATTTCATTTATACATCGTTCGAAACCAAAAAATAATTTCTACTAAGAAGTAATAACTAAGAAGTTAGAGAAAGTATAGAAAATAATCATAAAAGGATTTGAAAAAAGGTAAAGTGATATTACGGTAAGCAAAACTGCATGGAGAAAGCTGGAATTTGAACTGACAGTTTTAATCCATTTGTGATTGCGGTTAAAAACAGAGAAAAACTGTTTTATGAAAAACAGCTTTAAACTTCTTAAATATACAGAAAAATTCTGTAAAAAAACGAGAATTTTTTTAACTTCCGGGTAATGTTCAAAAACAGGAAAAAAATGCATTTATCTTTAAACAGTTTTCTTTTTCTGCAAAAAGAAGTTTTTTTCCTGTAGAATTGACACTTATTTTTTACAGTATACAAATTAATAAGTTGCGCATCAGCATTTATTCAGCTTATGGTCAATCATCATGAGTGTTTAAATGCAAACTTCTCTATTCAATATTGCAATAATTACATTTGAGCATTTAATAATATTATATTATACACCGAAAACCCATTACATTATGACCACCCTCCATCCATAACGATGGGCTCGCCCAGGTTTTTATGGTTTCTCGCCCAGGAACAATATTTTCATGGGGCACATTAGGACCCATAATCCTCGTAGAACAATCCCTGACGTCTGTAAGCTACTTGAACATAGTTGCAGACCAGGCTCACCCGTTCATGGCAACAGTTTTTCCTGCGGGGGATGGTGTTTACCCACAGGATAATGCACCATGTCATAAGGGTCGAATCGTCATGGATTGGTTCGAGGAACATTCCAGTGACTTTCAAGTCATGTCTTGGCCCCCAAATTCACCTGACCTTAATCCAATAGAGCATTTGTGGTCCTACTTGGAAAACCAAATTCATGCTTGCACGCTACCCACTCGCAATGTGAGGGAATTGTAGGGCCAGTTGGTGAGCGCTTGGTACCAGATACCTCAGACTACCTATCAGCACCTTGTGGAATCAATATCACGGCGGGTGATAGCAGTTTTGAGGGCTAAAGACACATCCTACATGTTATTAGCAGGGTGGTCATAATGTAATGGCTCTTCGGTGTATACAAAGTTAAGTATTATAAAATGCGTCATGTTGAGATAGAAAAATACATAATTTTAATGGTTAAATTGTAACTTTTTGTGAATTATTAAAACGAAAAGGAAAGAAAATTGAACTGACCACAAGACCACTCATCAGAGTTATCAGGACAGTCCTGTTTCGAATCACAGTTCATTCGTTGCTCCACGCAAACATCAGATGTATTGCAAGGAAAGTAACCAGCCGGACATGGAGCTGTTACTAAATGAGAATAATCAAATTGCTTGACACTCTTACCACCTGAAATGAAAAACGTTACTCTCTATTATTATCGGGAGTACTAGATCTTTAAGGATAAAATCTACAAAAATAGGCAAAAATGATTACATAGAAATAAGGAATGATTTATTCATTTAGATAAGCACCCATAATGCTTATGCACTTTTGCTACGCCAGGTTGTACCAGTGGTATAAAACCTGGATGGACGAGAATCAATAAATTACTGGAAATCCAATTTTATAGCATTGTCAGAATTAAATTGTTTTTCTATTTGAAAAAAATATTAGTTCTTATATGGACATAAAATTATAACACATAAAAATTTGTATAGTGTAAGGTCTAAAGTTATGCAAAAAGATGGAGAATGACATATTGACCTATCCTTTAATTTTTGGAATCATTTTGTACAGTTGGTTGCAGTATATAGATGTGATGGTTTGAGCTAGGTCATTTTCAACTGTGACACTTGTTTCATTATTGTTGACCTTTGATTCTAGGCAACCATGTACGTACATAACTAAGAAATTTGAAGAAACAACCAACTTAGTAACACTTTTCGCGTGGTCTGCAATGTTTTAATTCCGTGTAAGAACTCATTTTTCATAATAAAACAATTTTCTGGCCTTCATTTTTTCAAACAAAATCCTGAAAAAGATAATTTTTTTATTTGTAAAGCTTGCATGATTTTTTTTAAAGAAAATATGTGTATTTTTATAAAGATGTGTATTTTTCCAAAGAACAGATGTATTTTTCAATGGAGCAAGGTAACTTCAACTATAAACTCTCAAATTTGTCAATATTATGAATTACAGATTACACCATTGGCAAAGTAATAGTTACTATATTTTTATCAGAAATATAAAACGTCCAAAGAACAACAAAAATGTGCTAGTCGATAACAAGAATAATAATTGGCTTAAGATTTTTCGTTAAAGAAAAGCGGCAGTTTGTTTATTTTGCACAAACTCTTTAAAATCTCAATGTGAACTTCGTTTTATGTTTATATTTTTATATAATGTAATATTGTACGCTATCACAATACGCTTCACAAATATTTCCAACAAAAATATTTTCAGAATGATGTAAAATAAGAAACAACATGAAAACATGCTTTAAATTCAAATGCTCTAGAAGAAGAACGTTAGGTAAACAGTTTCAAAATTGATAGTGCGGGTTAGGAATAATTTAAAAATAATAATTTTGTACTTTTCAGTAATAAAACTAAATTTGACATCAAGCATTTTAGTAAAAATGAATAACAGATTTTCAAAAAGACAGTTCTTTCGAAAAACTTCTAACAAAAATTCAATGGAACAAAATATCGAATAATAGTGAATAATAATTATAATAAATGCCAAATACAGACGTATTTTTCAGTAGATACCACTCATATTAAAACGAGATAGAGTAAATACCACTCATATTATTTTATTCCTGCAATATTCTGTTCTGATATCCCTTGTATATCGAATTTCTCAGAATCTTTAATATACACTATATAGTAACTTGGGATAAACTATTATAACAGGAAAGGATTAGATTAGATGCAAGAAACATTATTCAGGATAGTTTAAGGACATGTTACAATCAGTGAGCTGGCTCCTTCGTTAGGCCAATTCCATTATTTCATTATCATTGACAGCAGACGTGTCTGCGAAATAATTCAAATAATTCTGTCTTATCTGAGAAATAATTCACGTTCAAAAGCATATATATCAAAAGAGAACAGGAGTATTTCTTGGGAAACATTTCAATAATATGAGAACATAAATTTCGAGAAAAATGTTTTTTTATGTGAAAACAACATGGCGCCTCACAGAACAACAAACGTTTCGCAAATTAAGTCTTTGAATCCGAGCTACTCTTTTGCAATTACAAAACAACGTGTATTAAAGGACACCGCAATTCAATACGTTTTTGCTGAATTGTTAAAATTTGATGCCCGCGACTTGAAATTCACGCTGTTCTTCCTAACTTCTGCATTTGGCAGAAACTAGAAATTTCATATAAATTTTATATTAAACTATGCATAGTTTTTCTCACCTTGTGGAAGGCAAAGTATCGTAGAGCTGATAATGGTAATCGTAACAAACTTCATCCATGTAGTTGATACCATTATCATTGATTCACTGAATTCACATTATTGAAGAATGTAACTGTGTCTTTTGCAAGGCGGATCTAGAACAAAGGAAAAAAAGTAAACATTAATGATTAATGAAGCAATGAAATGTTTTTGTGCATTTTGACTTTGGAAATCCTGCAAACTGTTAAAACTTCTATCTTAAAATAATACTTGCAGCAATTTGATGCAAAAATAATACTTTTTAAGCGAGTGAAACTTATCGTATCGTATTGCCTAAGGCTCTTCATGTCATGGTAAAGAAGTTTGGACATTTTGTTTCAAAAATGTCAAGAAACGATCGTAGTTTACAATTTTCTAAACTGCATATAAACGAGATAAAATTTTAAACCATCTCCTTGATCAAACTCAAAAGAAAAGAAAAATTCAAACTTATGCTGAATTAATTATCTTGCATATTTTACGTAAAACTATGATTTAACTAGAATATAAACCAAGATTAAACTTGACTAAGGTTTAAAATTGCTACATTTCATGGTCCAATTTCGAATCTAGCTTAATATGTATCTTGAATCTATTTGTATATCTTGAACCTATATGACTCTTCTGATAGCATAGGAAAATTTTCTTATGATGTTTACTGTTAATATATTTAATGTTCAATGCAATAATTCACAAATCCTTGCATTTATAATATGATACAAGCGTCTGAAAATGTCATCTTTATTACATATGTCTAAACACAGAAATATATTTAATCTTTTTCAACACTTTTTTAACAAACGAATATTTTTTAAAATAGCGAAAATTGTCTTGAAACATTTTACACGAATTCATTAATTTAAAGGGAAAATGAACAGTACATTAACATTTAAAAATATATCTACACCTTTACTGATACAAGTTTTTTGCATATTAAAGAATAATGCAAAAAAATTATAAAAATAATAATTAGTTTAAAATAAAAGTATAAAATTATCTGCGATGCTAATATTTTACTAAACAAACAGCGCAATTGTACTAAAATATAATAGTAAAAATGTAACTATCAGTATGTTATTAAATACTTTTATAAAAGCTGTATTTTTTAAGAAGTAAGACTTGCCATTTTATTATCAGTCTATTGCTTGAATAGCTTCATCTTGAAATTCTATTCCGTATAAAAAAAAATTATGATAAAAGCTATTTTCCTTTCACCGTTTTTTGCTGTGTCAATCTCCTAAAACATTTTTTCTGAAATATTCATCGCACATATAAATTATTTTACTGAAAAGATATATTTCCAAAGAATATTTTGTAGTCTTTATAAAGTTAGAAAAACCTCAGTCACATGAGACTTACAATGATGATTAGGAGAATTTACATAAAATATATTTCTTAACAATGCAAATATTTATCAAAATTTTTCATAAAACAGGAAACATTTTAGAGTTTAGCTCAATTTTTAGAAAAATAAATAACACCTACACTGTTCATTGTAAGAAATTCCATAACATCCCGCATTATTTCCTAAAACATTCTAGACTTTATGGGCTACCATCACATTCTTAAGAGAAACAAATTTCAATACGAAACGTTTTTTGAACTCAGTTAAGGTATTTTGTAAAAACACCTCCTTATATTTATGCTATATGCTACAATTACTTGAATTTTATATCAAATTTCCATACATTTACTGTTAAAAAAGCCAAAAACATTACAGCATTTTAAATTACTTTTTTCTGATTGTTTTTAGTTTTTCACCTTGAATGTGGCATTATATCTTAACAGAGCCGGCTAAGCGAACTTTCTCCTGATTGGTTTGTCGGGGGGTTCGACTCTCAATGAAGATAAAAACGAATTTGAATGAAGATTTCCTCCATTACATACATGAGGAGTTTCTACTTTGCTACTCATTTGATGAGCCTGTACTACAGAAACAACTATATCAAGTGAACATAGATGGCAGCACCACAGCTCTACTCATCACCATCCAATTCAGTGATGACAAATTCCATTACTACATGCCTACCATTTTAGACAGCGCCACTTGATTCACTAATCAAGCAGCATTCTATATTTAGATAAGTCTTGAAAAAATACAATTTAGCAACAGGTCAAAGTTGCTGACTTATTCCAGACATGTTACTAGTTTTTACTGGAAAGGTTTCTGAACTCATAAAAAAAGTTCCCTGTTTATTGTTAAAAATGTTATGAGCACAAGCTAGACACATTATTTGTTCATTTTTTCCCGAAGCATTCCCGATCACTTTTTTACAGTACATTTTTCTCATTGTAATGTCTCCAAGCCTAACAACTTTAAAACATATCATTAAGTCGGTAAAATTCTATTAATTATTTTTATCCGTATTGTAACGAAGAAACAAAGCAATTAAAAAGCTATTATGCCAGTGCAAAAAAGGTAGATTACTTTTTAATTGATCCTGTAATGGTAGATATTTACACCGTCAACCTTTAAACATTATGCATATAAATATTAAGGGAAAATCAACGATCTTTACCATCGTTAAAGTTTTCATATGCATTGATCTAATTCAGGAGGGAAGTGACTTTAACGAGATTACAGATCAATAGGTTAGAGATAATTGACAACCTAATAATAGTAGTGAGAACCAATATTCCAGCTATACACGAAACTAAAATTTAATTTCTAACAGAATATGAGCAACATTTTTAGAGATAAATGTAACGTTCAACGCTTTCAATCAAAAATTAGTTTAAATTTTAGTGTACAAAAATACAACTAATCATTTGTTTTTGTTAGTTTTCTAACAAACAAACTTACATTTCGTAAGACTTAAGGCATAAATTCATAATCATTGAAGATATAAATTCATTATACCTCCCACATTTTTTATACAGTGTTAATGCTATTGTTTTTTTTTAACTGGTTTTTTTTTAACAAGTTTAGTTTTAACTGGAGAACGGACCCTATATAAGTTTTTTTTTTTGAATAAACAATACGTCTAGCATTTTTCAAAATAGATTTATAATAAAAATTAGTCTATTAACAGCATATAGTTTGTATATATAAGCAAAAATTTCGATTTCCTTTCTTAATGAAGAACTTGATTTCCTAACAGCTCGAGACATTTTGTAAGAACTTTTATGGCTCATATTTTTACCTGATAAATCAACTAATTCTTCGATTTACTCAATTTACGAATTATTATTTTCTTCGCAGATCCTGAGCTATGTCAACTAGTTTAGAAACTGCAAGTTCCTGGCAACTTAGCGGTGTTTAGAGGAAGTTTTAAGAACGAATCCATTTTTCTCTTTTGTTACGTAGCTCAGCATATTTTCTCTAATTGCTTTGGTTTTTCCCAGCGTAATCATTTTTTTTTGTTTCATATATTTATATCAAACAAATTGGCGAACAATTTCTTCACAGATCCTGAATCATATAAACTATTTTAAATACTTGGCAGTTGCTCTCAACTCAACTGAATTGAATAAACTAGTTCAGATACTTGGCCAATTGCTGGCAACTCAGTGGTGTTTAAAAGAATTTTTAAGAAAGAATCCATTCCTCTTTGCTGTTACCTAACTCAGCAGATTTTCTCTCATTTCTTTGACTTTTTATAACATTATAAAGTTTTTCCTCGTAATTATGACCCAATAAGAGAAATATCTCTCTTTTATACGTAAAAGTATTCCCTGTCACAATTAATCACCATCAAAAATTAATGCAGTCATTACATTTTAATTACTTGTAACAAATTTATTAAGAGATGATTTTGGTTTACTCGCAATCTTAAAGATTTTAGCTGGCTAAAATTGATCTATCCTTGGCTCAGTCAGGATTGGAATGCTTGCCGTATTTAGAATGTTCTCAACGCTTAGTTTTCTTAAAAGAATTTATTATCTAATTTGCTTTTTATTACTATTGATTTTAATATAGCATTAATTTATAATTTGAAAAACAAAAAGGAAATAATTATTAGGAATCGTTTCGAAGTAATACTTTAAAAATCTAAGGAAAATTAAACAAAAAACATGGATTTTTTTCTAATTAATTCTCAGTTATAGTTATTGAAAACAAGGGCAATATGAAAACAAAAACATTACAAATCCACTTTAAATGAGAATAACAAAAAATAAATAAAAATGAAACGGGGAAAATAACATAAAAATAAAAAACAATTTTAACAAATTCAACAGATGCGTTTTATATCAAGTCAAAAAAAGAGAAAAAAATTAATATAAGAGAAAAAAATATTTTCAGTCAAGAAAATTTATGTATATTTTCTATTCGAAACAATAGCACATCTTTCATTGTTATTATTCAAAGAAAGCTTAAAAGAGGAGAAATCACTACGCATCGCAAAAACAGGATTATACATGTTTTGCCTCTACTGAAGTGTAAAAACAACGGAATTATATTTTTTCCTATTGTTAAGTATAAACATAATTTTTTCCCGATTGAATAATTGAGAGTATGTAAAGTTTCATTGCTAAAAAAATAAATTTTTCAAAGAATTGAAATAGTTTTATCGATATAAAAAAGTCAGAAATATATGTTTTTATTTACTTAATTCTGAACAAAACTAATTTTTAACTATGTTTAGTTACGACTAGAAGAAAAACATATTTTTAAAATGCTTTAGAAATAATTTCTTAACAATGAAAATTACTATCATTTAGAGAAAAAAAAACTTAAAATGTTTATGAATGCGGATAATTACGAATACGGATAATAATAGATATGCATTACGAATTGCCAGGAAATACATTTAATAATATATAACGAATTGGAATTGTTCCTGAAGCAAATGCTCTCTAAGCGTAATAAGAATATAAATAAGTGTGTGCGTATTTGCAACATAGAAATAAGTAAGGGAGAGAGAGGCTAGTGGGGACATGGGACTAAAGTAGACATCTTAAATAAATGAGAAATGAGAATATTTGAATATGAATTTGAACGCTAGAGAGAGAAAGAAATATGAATTTGTTACAAATGTCACACATTTGATGCTTTTTATTTCCTAAATTAGAATGATTTTGTACAGTTAGTAATTTACAATTAGTAATTTAAATTTAATTACAATTAGTAATTTAAATTAGTAATTTAAAGTAATTAGTAATACAATAAGTAATT